AACTCAAGCAGATTCGTTAAGCAGGATCTACCTCTCCTAAATCCATGTTGGCTATCCTTTATGAGGTGATTGATTGATTGATTCTGATCGTGTGTGGACTAATCATCCTGAGATTCAAATACGTCGTCCTTGATTCACCCATAATATTATTGTGTCATGGTTAGACTGCAAAAGCATGTTCTTTTTTTTCTTTCTGGTCACTTGTATAACTTGTTTTTCACAAATGACTGGTTTCAGAGTATCCTTATCTTATTCAAAAGAATCCCTGTTCTGGGGTGCTTACCCTGTTCAAGAACACTTACCATGTTTTTCTGGGTTTTGAGGGGCTTTCAGAGGACAGGGAAAGGTGTTGCTCAATATGTTTTTCACACCACTGGTCAGCGTATGAGTCACCTGCCTTGTCTTCAAAGAGAAGAGAAAGCACTGTTCATTACTATTTTTGATTGAAGCTGTGCCTAGCAGCAGGAAGAGGGGAAAGCATTGCCCAAGGATACTTGTCTAACTATCTTTGATTGAAACCGCACCTATCGGTCAGTGTGTGTAGGACGCTCACCCCATCTTCAGGAGGGGGGACGCCTTAATTATAGAAACTTATCACTTATCTTATCACTTCTTATTGAAGCTCCAAACTGCTTACCCGGATAAAAATTGGAAATTAGACAACACATTGCCTGAGGGGAGGGGTGAGCCTGGCCAGCTCGTCCCCTGCTCGCACGCGATGCCTAAATTTAGTATAAAAGAAGGGGGAAATCTCAGTGTTGGTTGGAGTTCAGCCGTGGGATAGAGCGCGCATTGCCCGGCACTTTCTTGGGACTCACGTGTTGGTCTCCTGCCAGGACTGAAACGGGCTCCCCAGTCTAAGAGTGAGGGTAGGTGATGATGACACGTCCGAGTGTGAATAGCTTTGCAGTTTCAATGTGTTGATTTAATCAATTATTACAATAACCATAATATCAAGTTGCACTTTCTATATATGCATGTTTCAATTGTCACTTTTTTAATTATTGTTTATGATTTATAATACCATTGGATATCACTTGTAATATGGAATTATTTTGCATTACCTTTGATCCAATATTTTGGAATGCCATGTTTTTAGTAGTGAACCTACAGTAAGTGTGCCTGTTTGCTCCTTCGAAAGCCCTATATCCCCCTCACATCATCTTAAAACAGTCCCTATGCACCTCTAGCAGGGAAAAAAGTCACTAGCCAGGGTAAATAATGTGGCTGGCTTCCTTTCTCCTGGTGGCAGGGTGCGACATCTGCTGGCCAAACAGGTACGTAATGGACATGATAGGGATAAATCTTGACCAATCCTTTTCAAGTAAAACTGACTCTGCAAATGTCAATTGAAATAGTTTGTTCCAAATGTTTTTGGGGTAGTTTCTCCAGACAGCTTTTTGTTCACACCTTACACCAGGGGTCTCCAACTCCGGTCCTGGAGAGCTACCGTCCAGTAGGTTTTCTATCATACCCGGCTTCTGATGAGCCACACCTGTTCTCAGGTAAATACCAGGGTCAGCTGTGGCTCATCAGAAGCCAAGTAGGATAGAAAACCTACTGGATAGTAGCTCTCCAGGACTGGAGTTGGAGACCCCTGCCTTACACTCTCTTCACATCTTCATCCCTCAACACAAAGAATCTTGAAACAAAAGACATGCTACCCATAAGTGTTTTACCTTACCTTTCATGCAGCATTAGTGGAGGGAGGGAAGGTGAGGGGTAGGGGACATGTCTGTGGATGGAAACTGAGTTGGAACAAAGAGTAACATTAGCTGATAAACTACTTGATTGGCCATTTCCAGTACCTACCCAATAGTGAACCATTTTTTTCACTACTCCTCCTGCAAGTTTAATCCTATCAAGGCTCTTTTGAGTCATATTATCTTCAGACTATGCCTAACATAAGTTATTACATGCCTTTGTGTTATTCAAAATGCTTCACCTGTAATCCGGTCACAGATCTGATGGCAAAGATGCCAAACAGGATGCGAGGGCATATTTTGGCTAGACAAAATATATTCATAATATTTATAGTTCATAATATTCATAAATTGAAAAAACTGTCTTATGACAAAAATTACTGTGAAAATCATTTTCAAAAGTAATTCACTTAACTTGAACAGATAAAACCATTAAAGTTAAAGAGTATTATTCCCATAAAATCTAGCTAGTGATGTAAGAAAATTTTAGAAAGTGTAAATAGGTGTTTTAATAGGCTACAATTAGCTTGTTGATTGATAACTTGTTTTAAAGAGATGCACCCTTTAAGTATTTTAATAATTTAATACAATTAAAAACAGAATATGGATTCTGTCTTCTGTCAAAAACAATTTTTACATTTAATGAAAAACATGATTCTCATGCAGTCATTACTGACATTTCCACATTCACAACAGTTTAACTGCTAGCTATTAAATACTTTTTAAAAAAAAGAAGTAGTATCTGAAGAAAACAACCACATTGTTATATACATACGAATTTGGCTTCAAATTTTTCATTAAAATGATTTCGTTAATCTATTGAGATATAATTCAGAAAGTAAACACCAGTAACAGAATACAATTTAATTTATATTGCCAAACATTTTAATATTAAAACATTATGATAAAAATACTGTCTTTAACACCATCAGCAGAACTGTACCATTACACCATCAAGTGTGTGTGTGTGTGTGTGTGTGTGTCTGTCTGTCTGTCTTTTTTTTGTACAGCTCTCTACCAGCTGGCCTTGGCAGCTACACTACATACCTTGGGAACCTGCCTGATTTCTGTCAGGCATGTTTGAGTATCTTCATTCCCAAATGGAGCTCCTCAAGTTTCTTTCAAACATGAAATGCCATGTAAGCATCTGATTTGCTGAAATTTACTTGTTGGTACAAATTTCACCCATCATGAGCATTTGATTAAGGCATTTTCCATGCCTCAGTTATACCAATCGAGGATTCTTATCTAAGTCTGGAAAGCTAGATTAGAAAGTTGCCCAGATTACAGTATGGCACAGAAGAACTTCTTCTCCCTAAAGGGGTTTTCAGATGCTGGAACTGGAGATAGCAGCGGATCCTCTTTAGCATGTGCTTCACAATAAGACATCAAGTCTGCTGCTGCTTTCGACACCTGAAATACACGCAAAGCCAAAAACATTTAATATGATAGCAAACATATTCACTTTTACACACACACACACACACACACACACACACATACATATGTAGGGTAAACATATCCTTATGGGGACCGCTCATTCATTTCTATGGGAAAAATACTAATGCTAACTATGACAACCTTAACCGCTACCCAGCCTTAACCATAACCTTAAGTGAGCAAACAAAATGCCAGAATTTTTGCATTTTTAGTTTTTTCACGGATTGCAGTCACGGATTTTTCATCAGTCATTTATCATGTTGTGGAGACATTTGGTCCCCACAAGTTAAGGTATACCTGGACCACATATATTGTATATGTGTATTTTTGCAATTGGAATGAAACCCGATATATATGGAATGAAACTCGGAATATATGGAATGAAAGTCGATATATATATAATGAAAGTCGATATATATATAATGAAAGCCGATATATATGGAATGAAACCCGATATATATATAAGGAATGAATGTCGATATATATATAATGAAACTCGGAATAAATTGAATGAAAGCCGATATATATACAATGAAACTCGGAATATATGGAATGAAACCCGATATATATGGAATGAAACTCGGAATATATGGAATGAAAGTCGATATATATATAATGAAAGCCGATATATATATAAGGAATGAATGTCGATATATATATAATGAAACTCGGAATAAATTGAATGAAAGCCGATATATATACAATGAAACGCGGAATATATGGAATGAAACCCGATATATATGGAATGAAACTCG